TTCTTCATCTATTATTCTTTTATTTTCTCTAAATTTCCAACAAGTGGTATCAGAGCCACGTTCGATCAAAGATGGCGGAGATGATGCAATCACAGATTCCAAAGTTGTCAAAGAGTAATTATGGGAATTGGAGCATTCAGATGAAGACGTTGCTAGGTTCCCAAGATATATGGGACCTTGTTGAGGATGGATACATGGAGCCCGCCAATGCAGCTGCAGAAGCAGTTTTATCAGATGCTCAGAGAAAGATACTTAAAGATTCATGAAAGAAGGACAAAAAGGCTCTTTTCTTAATTTTTCAAGGTGTTGATGAATCAACCTTTGAGAAAATATCAGATGCAAAATCATCCAAGGAAGCATGGGAGATTTTACAGAAGTCTTGCCAGGGAGTTGACAAAACTAAAAAGGTACGACTCCAATCACTTAGAGCTGAGTTTGAAAACTTAAAAATGCAGAATGCAGAGCCAGTTACAGATTATTCCTCACGAGTGCAAAAGGTGGCGAAAGAGATGAAAAGAAATGGAGAGATGTTAGATGACGTCAGAGTAATGGAGAAAATTCTACGGTCACTATCAAGAAAGTTCGATTATATAGTCACTGCCATTGAAGAAGCCAAAGACTTGTCAGTTATATCTATTGACGAGCTTATGGGTTCTCTTCAAGCTCACGAGCAAAGAATGAATCTTAATGAAGGTTCTAGCAAATTGGAGCAAGCTTTGCAAAGCAAGTTATCTCTTGATGTAAATAAAGCCAGTAGCAGTAGCTATGGACGTGGCAGAGGAAATCATGGTGGATATAGAGGAGGTTTCAACACCCGAGGTGGATTCAACACTCGAGGCGGTCGTGGCATACGCGGTGGATATAGTCAAACAAATAGAAGATTTCAGACTGATGCTGTAGCATATGGACGTGATCAAGGAGGATATAATAATCGTGGTCGAGGTCGTGGTTTCGTGACCCGAGAAGGAGGAAGATTTCAACAAAGAGGTGATAAATCTCACTTGCAGTGTTATAATTGCAACAGATATGGTCATCTCAGCTATGAGTGTAGAGATGCTGCTAGAGTTGCGGAGAAAAGTCATTATACAACAACTGAAGAGAAAGATGATGAACCGACCATGTTGTTCACTTACAAAGGCGAGGAAGATAGTGGGAAAGATGTTTGGTACCTTGATACTGGAGCTAGTAATCACATGTGTGGCAAAAAGGAGTTATTCACAGAGCTGAATGAGGAAGTCCAAGGAGAAGTTGCGTTTGGCGATCTATCAAAGATTCCAGTTAAAGGCAAAGGTAAGATTATGATATTCACAAAGAATGGAGATAGAAAATACATTTCAGATGTCTATTACATACCATCTTTGAAAAGCAATCTCCTCAGTCTTGGTCATCTTTTAGAAAAAGGATATGATATTCATTTGAAGAATAATTCTCTCATTATGAGAAATCATAAAGGAGAATTGATTGCAAAAGTTGATATGACAAGAAATCGTCTATTCAAGCTAAACATCCAGACAAGTGCAATAAAGTGCATGAAGACAATCATAGAAGATTGTTCGAGGTTATGGCATCTTAGATTTGGTCATCTTGGATTCACTGGCCTGAAGCTGCTATCAAAAGCAAAGATGGTAAATGGATTACCAATGATAAATCAACTTGATCAGCTGTGTGAAGGATGCATGAGAGGAAAGCAACATAGACAAAGCTTTGAAGTTGGCAAATCATGGAGAGCAAAAAGACCACTGCAGCTAGTTCACTCAGATATAGCTGGTCCATTTGATATTCCATCTCTTGGAGGAAACAGGTATTATATTACTTTTATTGATGATTTCAGTAGAAAAGCTTGGGTATATATTCTTAAAGAAAAATCAGAAGCTCTTGAAAAGTTCAAAGAATTCAAAGCAATGACAGAAAAGCAAAGTGGTCAGTATCTGAAAACACTCAGAACAGATAGAGGGGGTGAATACACTTCCAAATTATTTGAAGAATTTTGTAGGCAACATGGAATAATTCATCAATTGACAGCAGCCTACACACCACAACAGAATGGTATAGCAGAAAGAAAGAATCGTACAATTCTTGACATGACAAGGAGCATGCTCAAAGAAAAGCATCTACCAAAAACACTCTGGGCTGAAGCTGTCCAATGTGCTGCCTATCTATTAAATCGATGTCCAACAAAGAATGTCAAGTTCAAAACACCAAATGAAGCATGGAGTGGTAGAAAGCCAGAGGTAAGCTATCTAAGAATTTTTGGTTGTGTAGCATATGTTCATATTCCAGATCAGAAGAGAAAGAAGTTAGATGATAAAGGAGAAAAGTGTATCTTTACTGGCTACGAGCATAGGAGTAAAGCTTACAGATTATACAATCCCCTGACAAAAAAGGTAATCATCTCAATAGATGTGGAGTTTGACGAAACAGATTACTGGAAATGGAATGATGAAGAAAAAAGAGTAGAAGGCTTATTCTTTAAAGATGATGATAACTCAACAGAGCAAACAGTTGAAGCAGGAAATGATCAGACACCTCCACCAAGTCCTAATCCAACAACTCCTGCATCTACACCCTCAACCTCAGGAAGCAGTAGCAGTAGCAGTAGCAACAATTCAGGGGGAGCAGCAGCAAAGATGAGAAGCTTAAGTGATATCTATGACGCTACAGATCCGGTACAAACTACCCTTGATTACTCATTATTTTGTTTAATAGCTGACTGTGATCCAGTGACATATGAAGAAGCTGTAGAAGATGAAAAGTGGAAGAAAGCCATGAATGATGAAATTGCTGCAATCAAAAGAAATGACACGTGGGAGCTTACAACTACGCCTAAGAAACATAAGCCCATCGGAGTAAAGTGGGTGTACAAGACAAAGACAAATCAAGAAGGAAAAGTGGAGAAATACAAGGCAAGATTGGTAGCTAAAGGCTACAAGCAGAAATATGGAATAAATTATGATGAGGTGTTCGCACCAGTTGCAAGGATTGACACTATCAGACTTCTTACAGCAGTTGCAGCACAAAAGCAATGGAAGATATACCAGATGGATGTGAAATCAGCCTTCCTCAATGGTTACCTAGAAGAAGAAGTCTATATTGAGCAACCACCAGGTTATGTTAAAAAAGGAGAAGATAAAGTTTATCGACTGAAAAAGGCGCTATATGGATTGAAGCAAGCTCCAAGAGCATGGAACACAAGGATAGATGAATACTTTCATAAGAATGGATTTGTGAAGAGTCCGTATGAACATGCTTTGTACACGAAGAAGAATGAAGATGGGGATATGATGATCGTGTGTCTTTATGTGGATGATATAATCTTCACAGGGATTAATCCAGGTATGTTTGTTGAATTTAAGAAAGCTATGACTAAAGAATTTGAAATGACAGATATTGGAGAAATGTCTTATTTTCTTGGAGTTGAAGTAAAACAAACGGAAGAAGGAATTTATATGTTACAAAAGAAGTATGCAGAAGAAATACTGAGTAGGTTCAGAATGAAAGATTGCAAGCCTATTTCAACACCAATAGAAGCAGGAACGAAGTTGAAAGCTGACTCAGATAGAGAACCAGTTAACCCAACACTATTCAAAAGCCTGGTCGGAAGCTTGAGGTATTTGACTTTCACTCGACCAGATATCATGTTTGCAGTTGGTCTAATTAGCAGATATATGGAGAATCCAAAGCAGGATCATTTCAGTGCAGCAAAGAGAATTTTAAGATATATCAAAGGAACCATCAGTCATGGATTATTCTATACACATTCCCAAGATTCAAGGTTAATTGGCTATGCAGATAGTGATTATAGTGGAGATGTAGATGATCGAAAAAGCACTTCAGGATATGCTTTTCATATTGGCTCAGCAATATTTTCATGGTCATCAAAGAAACAACAAACAGTTGCTCTATCATCATGCGAAGCTGAATACATAGCCGCAGCAGCATGTACGTGTCAAGCGATTTGGTTAGAGAATATTTTGAATTTATTTCATTATGAGCAAGAAGGTCCAATTACTATATACGTAGATAACAAGTCTGCTATATCACTTGCAAAGAATCCAGTCTCCCACAGCCGAAGCAAGCATATTGACACGAAATATCATTTTATTCGGGAGCAAGTTAAAAACAAAGTTGTGGAATTAGTCTACTGCAGAACTGAAGAACAATTGGCAGATATTTTTACAAAGCCATTAAAGACCGATGTGCTCAACAAACTCAAACATATGATTGGTATGCAAAGTCAAATTTGAGGGGGAGTGTTAGAAATCAAATTAGTCTTTGCCACCTCATCAAAGTAGTCAAAGGCGGTAAAAGAAAAAAATCTGTAGCCTGAAAAGTTACGTGGAGTAATTCTCTAAATGATGATTAAAGAATGTTGAAGAAGTTTAATACTTTGAAAACTCAGAAGCGGTGGTATACTCCTAAAGGAAACAAAGTCGGTTGATGGAAAATTGTAGAAAGTTGTAGTTTCAATATTATATTGTTATTAGGAAAGTCGGTAAAGCAAGAAGCTATCAAGTCGGTTGGTGAAATCTATATATATGTATGTTGTAGTTAAGTGTATATATGCGTGTTAGTGGAATTGAAAAGAGAGAAGAAAGGCTGAAGAAAAAGTGCAGAAGCACTCGAGAAAAATCAAGAGAAAGTGCAGTAGCACTTAGAAAGAAAGAGAGTGATTGTGAGATTAAAATAGTGTGTTGTTGTTATTTTTGTTTAGCCAAAATTCAATACAAAGAGATTTCTTCATCTATTATTCTTTTATTTTCTCTAAATTTCCAACAGTATTCTCATTATGTGCATAGTCCCTCTAGTGAAACGGATGCTACAATAACGAAAGACTAATTGATGCATTTTACCAATACATTTAACTATTCTCCAAGTTCCTCAATCTAACCATGCGGCAATGCTATCTATAGTCTCGACCAATGACCACGCTCCACTACCAAGCCTTAAATTATTCTTTGTTGGAAAAAAAAAGAGTACAGAAATTCGTGTGAAAGCTATACCTTAGATATAGGCACCAATGTTCCTATTGATGCTTTAATTTTTTTGAGCCCCGCTAGTTTTTCAATTATCACCCAGGGTCTGGAAAAAGACAGCGAAGATATTAATTCTAAATAGTAATTGAAAACAATCATACATCATTAACATATATAGAATTCTCTCGCCTAGGCTTGCAGATGCATAACCCTTTTCTATGCATTGTTGCTTAAATTAATAAAATACTTACTACCCAAAAATTTCGTAAGCCTTGTTTCAACGTTAAGTTGATCAACACAGGCGTTTACATTCACAATTGAACAAACAATAAATAGACGTAGTAAACTGATCTTGAAATATATTGCAGAGACATCAATATTTAAGAACTAAACATTGAGAATACCTACCTGCCAGTTGAAGATGTTATGATGTGGTTGGGATTATCCAAAAAGTCACATAGCTTTTGGAAATCTTTTTTAGAATCCAAGATAATGGCCCCCCTGGTATATATCTCGGATGACAGACTTGGGAAAATGAAGACTCTAGGTGATACAGAAGTATGTCTACGTAAGAATTCTGTAACTGTTGATGGACATAACTCTTTATCAAGATTCCCAATCAATATCATGCACACGTTTTTTATTCCTCCAAGATCAATATCTTCCATTCTTCTGTCAAGACAGCTGACTATAAACCAAAAGAAAGAAGAAAACAAAACTAAATGAAAAACTGTGGAAAAAGTTAAAAGATTTATATCATGGAACAGCATAATAAAAAATACAAAGAATAACTGCACTGAATGAACGCCAGAGCTGATAAACACAATATATGGGCGTAAAGCATGCAGACTGATGAAGAAATTTTCAATCTGCTTATATGAACATGCATAAGGGTATAGAGAAAGTGACCAACAGGGTCTTCAAAATCGCATTTCTACCGAGGATCAGAAAAGGTCTCCCAAAAATCTGACCAGAAAATTCAGCTGAGGATAGTAAGATACTAACTACTATAAGAATTGTATCCATGAAACGTATATTAAAATTTAACATAAAGATTTCACATGAAATAGTTAAAAAAATAAATAAATAAATAAATAAAAAGCACACATAGTTATGACATTTCAAGTAGGAAGAGAAAGAATTATTACAATCCATAACAATAGATCACTACCAAAGTAAAAGCTCAACAAAAGAAGGAAAAGAAAAAAGAAAAAGAAAGAAACAATGTTCCAAACAATACAACTGATAAAGAAATTCCTCAGTCCGAGAAATAGATCAAAGACTTTGGTACAGACCAAAGATTAATGAGAACTAAAGAGCAAAACAAATCTTAGTAAAAGAATCCAAGCTTTGGAAGAGGGAAGGTCAAATACACATAAAACGACCTAAATGCATAACACAAGTTCTAAGTAACAGATGGACCGCATTTTTCATTTCAAAACCAATAACTATCAGTCCATTAAATTGTATGATTGTATCACATCTCCCCCTAAAAACTGCAGGCCAGGTCATTCCGTGAATCACATTGCGAGTTGTAATTCCAACGACTTTACCATGTCAATATCAAATAGTAGTCGAATGCAATCCTACTTGTTTGCCAGTCGGGTAGAATCTGACATGATTCTACAGGTCTAGTAAATAAAATCCTACAATTCTAAATGTTGGCATGTGATTTTGACAACCATGGTTACCCTGGCCCCAACATAGTCATATGTCCAATTGTAACGCCTGACAACTTGCAAGGATCAACGACTATCCCCACACATTAACACGAGACTTTTCAGCGTGCTTTGTCTTCACTCGCACACTTCCCGGGAAAACTTCTCAGGAGGTCACCCATCCCAGAATTGCCCCAAGTCAAGCACGCATAACTATAGAGTTCTTCTGTTCCGGACTATCGAAAAGTAGATGCATCTTGTTAGTATAGGTAGTACCAATTAATTCTTATAAGCTATTCCCGACTGTACCGTCCCATACCAGCACAGTCTCTGGAATCTCTCTTTTTCGGGTGTTGATTCGATTCATTCATGTACCCCCGTCGCTGGAAGCCTTCCAGGAGCCGCTCCTTGCCCATGCCCTTTGGCACCAGCAATCACTCCCCGCCCTCGTTAGCGCCCGGGATGTTACATGCCCACCAGCTTTCGCCTGGTTCGTCCTCGAACCACACCGTACTGGAAGAGAGGCCCTGCTCTGATACCACTCAATTTTTCGTTCTGAATTCATTTACAGGGTTAGTTTTATCATTTGAGACCTCCTACTCAATTTTACCTTCCTAGGATTACGTGTTTGGCTAATTACCGTTTGACCCTTTCTTTGTATTTTGACCTTAACTTCGGAATTTTCACTAATCCTACCATTTAATTCACGTTTAATATATTAATATATGTTTTATAAATGCAAGGTGTTATACCAATCATATGAAAAAACTGTTAGTATTAATATATGTCCTAAAAACAATTTGAGCGTCAGATGACACAGATTGTACTATTAAGCATTCATAATAATTATTATTATGAGCATGTTTTATCTGTTTCTTTTATAACATGTGTAATAGAAAAAGTCCCTTGGGAATTGGGATAATACGGGTGTGCCTTGAGGATCTATGATGAGATCATGATCACGAGGACTCAAGCTCACTACATGACTATGCCCTAAAACTGTTTCTGGTCTAGAGTCACCAATGATGGCGTTGGTTGTCTCTATTAGACTAGTAGGACAGTAGGTTACTTACATTGAGATCTAAGGTATATGTCTTATGAGTGCAGGCATGGAGATGCCTTAACCTATGTCATAGGTGGATTTGTAGTGGACCGAGTCACAACGAAATGACCCACCAAGAGACTCTACAAGGAAACTTATACTGGTATCATTGGATCAATAATGTCCCTCTTCGTTTAATTGTGCATATCATCCTCAAACTTAACTGTTGTCGTACACTGTGTCTGAAGGTCATACTTTAAGGTACAACTCTATTTGCCTAAAAGAAGGGGAGAACAGTGTATTTACTCGGGAATCTGTGCACAATATGAAATCATGAAGGAGTTCATGGATCTTTCTTAGAGTTTATGGAAGAAGACTCTCTGTCCTGTCAAAGCTGCTCTTGGTCAATAAAGAGTTGACACTACTACATTGCTCTTGACCTAAGAGATGGATAAACGAGATGAAAGGATAGATACTACAGTAATTAAATTAGTAAAGGTAGATCTCACGATCAAACTCAATTAGTTTTGGGACCACAAAGCATTCCTAGTGTTCTGTGTGGTCATTTGATGGATTAGGCTTCATAAAGGAGTTTATGAAGGTTCGTAAACGATCCATTTCAGTGACTAGTTAGGTCTAATAGATCACATACCAATATCACCTCATTGGCAATTCCTAGCGTACATTTGGGTCTTATGAGATAAGATCGAAAACAGAGTTTTCCATTTTGGCCCATGGGCCCAATGGTCCGTTGGCCCAGTGAGCCAGTCATAGGCTCGATGGACCAAGCTCATAGACCTAATTGGTCGCACATGTGAGCAAGTGGCCTAGACCTGCACTTGCATCATCAGATGTGACTTGGATATGATCCAAGTGTGTTAAGCGGAATGCTAAGTGTGAAAGAAAGCCTTTGAGCCTATGTAAAGAATCACTTGGGCCATGGGCTAGTGAATGGTAATTCACTCAGACCAAGGAAGTAGGTCAAGTGTTAAGAAACCCTCATGCCCATCCAGCCTTGGGCGCAACTCATGAAGGAGATACATTAAGAGTAAGTGGGCCAAATGACAGTCACTTGAGCAAAAGAGCCAAGTGGATAGTGATTCACTTAGGCCAAGGAAGGGGGCGCAACGAGAGATTAGTAAATCCCTAGCCTAGCTCCTCATTCACTCACACCCCATGCAAGAGAGAAGACACAATACAATGTCGTCCCCTTCTCGCTCCTTTGTTCTTCCCCTTTATGCGTCGTGATCTCTCTTTCTCTTCAACCCCAAACACTTTGAAATCCCACCTTGTGCCATCGCCTAGCAAGCTGTCAAGGGTTCAGGAACCAAAGAGAAGGAGTTCTTCGCTGCTATCAAAGAAGATAGTGTGGATCACCATTGGAGGGACTTGGGGTGACTAAATCCTGTTCGTGTTAGATCAAGACGCGATCAGAACGATAAAGCATTTACCAAGGCAAGCATCTAAGGTTAAAAGCGCCAAAGGTATGGCCTTTTGATCTTTTCCCATTCAATCTATGTTGAATGTGATCCGGATATGTATGAACATATGTGAATACATATGTTTTCCACCGCGCTTTTAGTTTTAAATAGCGTTTATACTATGTTCATGCATTGTTTTTCCCTTTTAGAAAACACCCCCTATCGAGGGTTGGGATGAGAACAATCATTATCCATAGCCTCATTATTGCATATTTGCAAAGAGGCCAATCATATGAAGAGCAACATAAAAATATCTGAAAACCACAAAAAAGATTTTTGAGGCAAAACCCAATGAGCTGAATCCAATTGTAGCATTAACCTCTACTATTACATAGAAACAAACCTTCAGGTGAACAAACTCTAACAAGAGACCGCTTGGCACATTGTTTTTCCTGCAGAGAGAGGTATACATGATTTTAGACATTGAAAACATATCCAAGAATAGGAAACATGTACTATCATTAAAATTATACAATTTTCTCAGCATGAAAGCTAATAGAAAGTGCTTCTGGTTACATAAAGATGCATATACTACTAGCCTTCTGTATTGGGTCCAAATAATCTGGTCTACAAGCAGCGGGTGAGCCTTCTTTGCATTGTGCTACCATTTCCAATCCAGAAACTCCCTTTGACATTGAAATAGAACAAGAAGACACAAATTCTGTTCTCTCCCTAGCCATCTTCAGGAATGAAGCCACTGCAGGATCCTGGTCCAATGCAGGCTGAACTACGCAAATATTCTCAACAGTTGTAGCATTCAAATTTCCAATATTTGGCCCATGTAACCAGCAAAGTATAAAGGTGCACAAGCACAACTCCTCTCCTGCTTTGTAAGAATGCTTGTTTTTTCGCACCTATGAAAAACAAGCACGTGCAAATACGGAGGAAGGAAGCAATTCAATCAAGAATGTAAAATTAACTGTTTCATGCCACTAGAATTGGTCTAGTGGTGAGGAGTTTGCATGAGGTCATATGTTCAAATCTCAATGGCACCATTGTATTAAAAAAAAATTAACTGTTTCATTTCCCTAAAGAGACTAAATAAAAGGCACACAACGTCTTAGATATTTCTAAACATCTCAAATTCAAATTTACAGGGTTGATTAAAAAGAATTAAAGCAACCAGCATCTCAAATATTTTTAAATATCTCAAATTTCAATGATTCTCCCTAGCTCACTCGGTAGCCACCACTACCACTCTACAGATCATCAGCCAGACTTTAATAACACATAGACAAGAGTAACACAAAAAGAAATAAACTATGGTTACCCATTCTTGAGCATTATTTCTCATTTTTCGGCAAATGGTTAGTGATCAATCCTTCAAAATTTATAAGAGTCTTTAATTATGAACACCATGTATTTTTTTTATTATATAAGGGGACGGTTATACTTACTATTATTCTAGATTTACTACTTTTACTACCCGATTGGTTACCGTTAGATTACTTTGAAATCAACCGATAAAAAACAAAAAAATAATAATAATTGCTCTTGATTTCAAATTGATCCAACGACAATAATCAATCAAGTATTAAGCATAACATGTTACTAAATATAACATTCTCCCTTATACAAATAGTTATAACTTCAAATAAGAATATACATTGCAATATTTCACCCGTTACAAAATTTTCTGACTCTCCAATTGAATAATACCAGGTAATCAAAACGACAAAAAGAGCGATAGAGTGACCTCATGAACTTCAGCGTCGTAGAAGCGAACGTCGTCGTTTCGGAAACGGTAGCAAGCGCAGACCCTGGTGTCTCTAACGAGTTGGCGACACTCATTGTCTTGAAGCTGTTTGGAGACAGGTCTGAACCGTTCCTCAAACTCCTCAAGTTCCTCCAAAGATTGGAAATCCGTGGGTTTGAAGAGATTATCTACGTCTTCAGAGAAGTTCAGGTACTTCACTCTCAGAGTTTCTCCCTCCACGGAAACGGTTACCGAGTACCACGCATCGTCGCCGTAGGATCTGAACTCCGTCGTGCAACTCGCCTCAACTTCGACGACGCTCAGTTCCTTCTTCTCCTCCGCACCCATTTCACTACATAAAAAAAGCTAACGCAAGGAAATAGAAACCTGAAAGTGGAAGAGAAATAGAGTAACAAGTAGAAAAACTTTACCAGTAACGATAATTCTAGAATATTTGAGAAAAGAACCTCAGAAGTTTTCTAAACGTAGAGAAGCTTATTTCAAAGAAAAAATTTGTTAGTGGACTCCCAACGGTCTTTGCAACAAAAAGTAAGAGAAATCATAAATAAATAAATCAAAAATCAAAAATACTACTCTCGTTCTCCATATATTCTCTCACTTCAAAATCTCATCCCCTTTTTCTTTTCTTATTTTTAGCCTTTTGAATGGTGTGCTTCATCAGAATATAAAATGAGAGTAATATTCTACTATGAAGCACCGACACTTTAAAAATTCTGACGTGTTGTGTCCGATACTCCAATACTCGTTGCAAAGACTCAAAAAAAAGTTCAAAGGTTATGTTGCGTTGCATCTTGAGTTTCAACTATTAGATTCGTTATATTACAATTACGATTTTATTGAGTTTAGTATAAACATTTGAGATATATTATGTTTCTTTGCAAAATTAATAGGTATTATAAGTTTAGCTTTATTTTTTTGTTAAATTATTGAATACTAAATATAATATATATTACATAAATTAAAAACATTATATAATATCAAAATGTGTTCTAACGTGTCAAAATTTAATATTTTTTAAAATTAACGTATCGGAATATCGTGTCATGCCGTATCCCGTATCCCATGTTGGTATCCATGCAACACAGGTGTTCTACATAAATAATGCCTACAGTACTATTAGAAAAATGTAAAAAGGGCTTGCAACTTTTTATTTTGAAAAATATTTACGATATTATTGCTATACCATTGTGTATCAAGTCAATAAAAATTAAGAAATAAATGTGATATTTGTACGGAAGAAGAGAAAAATATTTTTTTATCCAAATATCACTTGTTAAATAACAATTGCACCTATTACGAATGTATAGAAAATGATCTTCTCATGTTGCATAAGAAGTTAGAACTTTTTTATTGAAAAAAAAAAGGGGTGAGGCCCTTCTTAAAAAAATAGAAAATAAAAAAATGGCTGGTACAGATATCAAATGTGAGAAGTCTTTTTCCTTATGTAAAAAAGGACTAATGTTTTTTTAAAATATAATTTTATCTCTTACAAATATATAAAAATATATGGGTCTCATATAAAATCATGTGAAGAGACATATGGGCCCACATACTTTTATATATGTGTAGAAGATAAATTATTTCCTACAAAATAAAAAATATTAATCTCATATAAAAATTATTTAATCGGAAATTAATTAGAAAAGCTCAAGCCAAATAAGAGGATCATGTTAAGGAAAGTAATACAAATCTTAATTACCAAAAAAGTGAAAGAATTACGCAAATAAAAATAAGAAAACATAACAATAGTAGTAACAATGATAATTAAAATATACACTACTATAGTATGCTATAAATAAATGTGGAAAGGTAGCAAATATAAAAAAAAAAATTGCAAAATAAAGAAAAAAAATTAAGGAAAATTTTTGTAATACTCCCAAGTTATGCTTTAGAATAAAAATAACTCAGCTTTTTTTTTTAATCAATAGTGCCTGGTTGAAAATACCCCTATATTTATGTTAAAATCTGATATAGATGGAGATGAATTTTTGGGATATTTTTGTCTCTAAAAGGGTTTTTTTTTTATTATTATTATTTAACACACAGAACGTAGAGACGTCGCTGATGTAGTTCTAAAGTAAACCTTACGATATTAATGAAGTCTTTCCGAAGATAAATCCGTTATCAATCAATGTTATTAAACTCAGAGTGACCATTGACTCGGTGAGAGTGGATCACTCATTTTCAACTGATTAAACCGATATAATAATATGTCTTTTAACAACAAAGTCCTTATAACCTAGTAATAAGTGTTGCTAGCTGCCGGATTTAATTCTTATAAAGTGCTAGATTTTAAATGATTTAGGAAAAATTCCAATAATAAGTTCATTTAAAAAATTTCAATAATTGACAGTACAACTTTTTATTGATTGAAACTAGACTCGCAGATGATTCCATTTAGAGGTGATAAAATGGATTTGATCCACCCGCCAAATGAGATCGTGTGGGTTGAGTTTTTCAAACTCACTGTCCACCACACTCGCCCCACCAAGTCCGTCAGCTTGCTTGGGCTGAATTTTTTTATTTTTTTATTTTAATGTAACATGCCACGGGTTTGACGGGTCGCCCGCCCAAACGAGGTGGACGGGTTGAGTTTTCTAGCCCCCTTCAAAGGCTGGACGGGGTGGACAGCCCGCTTTTCGATTCTTATAATAGTGGTATCATTGCATTAAGCCTTAAAATATGAAAAATAAATTATTTATGAATTTCAATTTTTTCACACAACAAGAGAAAATTGACTCATATTATAGACACATCTTGTATGGAGCCATAATTTATTAAAAAAATAAAAAAAATGGTGCATGAAAATCAAAGAGTCGGTGATAGGAAAAAACAACTCTTATACAATATAAGAAATTGTTTTCTCATTATTTATATATGAAAAGGAAGAATTATATGCAATTGTGAGAAACTTACAAGGATTAATTTTTATTCAATGCTATGTGTTATATGAGCAGATATAATGGGGTTCTCGCAGCTGGGCGCACGATCCAGTCAAATCATCTCTAGGTAAGGAATTTTTATAAAAGGCGAGTTTCATCTCACAGGTATGAATCTGAAAACCTTAGCCTATTTGTTATTACTGTGTATACACTTGATCTCCTCTGGCTCCCTGCCACACCATGGTGCATAACTATTGCTACTTGTGGTTGTTTTCTATGTAGATATCGTCTCAACCTAAGATTCAACATCAACCTTTGATCCTGTAGGATCACATATTATGAAAAAGTAATACAAATATTATTTGTAGAAAATAATCAGAAACTAAAATTGGATTTTAGAATATCAAAAGCCAATAATTATAATAAAAGGAGTATGCTTAAGAAATTCATTTATATTAACTGAAGGATTTATTAAAGATATGGTGTTAGGAACCCCTTTTTAAAACAAATAGAATACTTACTAAAATAAAGAAAGAGAATTAATATTTGACTTTCGAAAACCTTTAAAGATTAAAGAAATTTATAATACTCAAGAATTTAATGAAGAAAGCTTTATATCCATACTAAACAAAAAAAATCAAATAATGTTTCTTCAAAAGGAGATAGAATACAAATGAATTGAAGAATGATTAAGAATTATAAAGTATAAGGAAAAATTAAGAATCTAGAAGAAAAAATTAGAGAAGAAGTTTGAAGAGATTCCCAATATCTTTTGGGGAAGAATAACTCATACGGTAACATTATCATACGAGGGTAATATTGAAAATATATATGTTAAAAAAAATATGAGGTGGTTATGTGAAAATATTACAATTATACTGATGTCGAAAACGCATAGAAAAAATGACTAAATAGAAAGTTAAGATTTCACAATAGAGTAATTCTCTGATTCTCAATTTCTATTAACAAAATAACAAAATTCAACTCCGAGAATAAAGGTCTTAAGCACCCTTTTATAGACTAATTATAAATTGATCCAAAATTCGAAATTCGAAATCTAAAATTTTAAAAATAATAAAACTTCTTAAAACAAATATAACAATAATTAACCTCTAAAAATAAATAAATAATTACAGTTAAATCACTCAAAACACGTCCCTAATCTTTAATCTCAAATTATGTCAAATGTGTTGTTTTCTTTTTCTTGCCAAACAAATAACAATCATATTCGCTGCTTCATTTGAACTGGGATTTGATCGCAATTTGTTATATTTCAAATTGCTGCTTCTTTTAACAATTGAGCTATAACACCTCACATTTATAAATCACATGTTAATATATTAAACGAGGATTAAAGGGAAGGATTAGTGAAAATCCTGGAAATTAGGCTAAAAGACAAAGAAATGGTAAAACGGTAAATAGCCAAACACACAACCCTAGGAAGGTAAAATTGAGTAGAAGATCTCGAATGATAAAAATAACCCTGGAAATGGATTCAGAACGAAAAATTGAGTGGATAGGCAAGTTTCAGAAAATTCAGTGAATAGTGTTTTTACCGGATAAAAATACTGTTGTACGATTGCACCGTAAAACATGCCGATTGAGTTTTGAGCTCTAGGTTTTGAATACAAGTTATAAATGGTTAATGTTAAAAATTAGAGTTTCTAAATAGGTTGTGAATTTACGGACGTTTAGTGGATTAAGCGGGGGTTTTAAATTAATTTGAAACGCGTGAGGTGGCGGTGGGGCCCACCCCACTTAAGTGATAAGATGACAACTTGCCAAAAGGACATTATTCATCATCTCTCTCTCCCCTCCCTTGGTGAAACCCGCGGACAGCCCCCCCCCCCCAATGGCCATACACTTTTGATTTTTCTTTCCTCTCTAACTCCACCAAATCTTAACCAAATCAAGGAAAGTTTAACTTGAAATTTGTTGGAAATCATCTCCTAAACCCATTGGTGGTATCCTTGAGCCTTGAAAACCATTAGATTTTGAGAAAATCCTCCCCAAAAGTCGCGGCCCTTTTGTGTAGATTTGTGTTCATAGAGTTGTTTGGAGCTCCAATGATTTAATATGATGTGGAGGAGCCCTCTACCAACCTTTTGAGTAAGTTTCCTCACATTTTAATGGTTTGATTCATGGATTTAGTTTCATGAACCCTAAGCTTGTTTTGGTTTATTTGTGTTGTTAGAGAGCTCAAATGAAAATTGTGCATTAGATGATTATGTCTTAGAATGATGTGTTAGAGCTATAAATGGAATAAAAATTATTGGTGAAAATGTGATCATAACTTAGGAAAATTTGAATGATGTCATGACTTTGTGTTTTGGATTGTTTTTAGGATTGTGTAATTGGATTGTTGTAGGGTTGTATTGATGTGCATCTAGCATATGATGCTTTCTAACTTAAAAGAAGCAAGGAATTAATCATAAATGTGTGAAAATAAGTCATAAATGCAAGAAATATTGATTATTCCTTCTCAATCATTCTCTCACTCAATTTATGTGTTTTAATAGCAGGAAACGTCACAAAAGGAAGCAAAAGAGAGAAGTCAAATTTTCCAGCTGGCGCACGGTGCGCTGGATGTGGCGCACGGTCCGCCACGATGCGCGGGACCTGGCGCACGGTGCGCGGGACCTGGCGCACGGTGCGCCATTTGACATACTTCCCCCTGTTTTCTCATGCAAAG